ATTTATATTAATATCTTTTAATTTAAGCCTAGCTATAATAATAAGTTAATAGCTCTAGTAATTAAAGATAAATTCTTAGGCCTTTTAATAGTCTTTAAGCTTAAAAATACCACTTAAAATACCCTATTATTAGCCCTTTAATTATTTAAGGCTTAAATTTAAAGGTAGTATTAACTAAGCATTTATTAAATCTATTAAGATAACGATAAAAGCCTTTAAACAGCTTATAAGGCCTAAATTAACTATAAAGGTATTATTAATAAGCCTATATTACTATATATACCCGCTTAAAACAGCTCTATTAAAAGGTTTAAGGGTATTTTAAGGTTAAAAGCTCGTATAATATAGCTAATAGCTAACCTTTCTTAAATTATAGCCTAAGATTTAAAAGGCTATTACTTACCTTTATAACCTATTACTATAATAAGGCACGAATTAAAAGAAGCTCTTCTAATAGCTTTAATAGTAGCTTTAATTAAATAATCGTAATATAGGTTATTTAAATAGGCCTAATATTATATATTTAGTTGCGTATAGTTATAGGGCCTATTTAATAACCTAGAAAGCCCTTTAAGGCGTTTAAAAACAGGCTCTTAAGATAATAGCCTACGTAAAAATTAATTACCTTACTAGATATAACTTAACTAATATCTTTTATATATAAATTCCATTAAAATTAAAAGTTAAATAGGTTAAAGATATAACCTTTAATAAAAAAACCTTTTATTAAGGCTAAATTTATTAAATTTAACTATAAAAGTTATAATAGCTTAAATTCTTAACTTATATTAAGTCTAATAATAATAATAAGACTAATAAGGTATAGTTTATTATTAAAGTTAACACTTAAGGCCTTTAAGCTAGTTAAAAAAGAAGTTAATTATTTAAATTTAATATTTTTAAAGACCTTAAATTTAATATAAGCGGCCCTTATTAAGACCTTTCAACGCTAGCTTTATTAGAGCCTTTTAATTAAGATAAAGGGCCTTAATAGTTATAACGAATTTCTAATAGGGAAGAATTTATATTAATATCTTTTAATTTAAGCCTAGCTATAATAATAAGTTAATAGCTCTAGTAATTAAAGATAAATTCTTAGGCCTTTTAATAGTCTTTAAGCTTAAAAATACCACTTAAAATACCCTATTATTAGCCCTTTAATTATTTAAGGCTTAAATTTAAAGGTAGTATTAACTAAGCATTTATTAAATCTATTAAGATAACGATAAAAGCCTTTAAACAGCTTATAAGGCCTAAATTAACTATAAAGGTATTATTAATAAGCCTATATTACTATATATACCCGCTTAAAACAGCTCTATTAAAAGGTTTAAGGGTATTTTAAGGTTAAAAGCTCGTATAATATAGCTAATAGCTAACCTTTCTTAAATTATAGCCTAAGATTTAAAAGGCTATTACTTACCTTTATAACCTATTACTATAATAAGGCACGAATTAAAAGAAGCTCTTCTAATAGCTTTAATAGTAGCTTTAATTAAATAATCGTAATATAGGTTATTTAAATAGGCCTAATATTATATATTTAGTCGCGTATAGCTGTAAAGCCTATCTAATAACCTAGGAAGCTCTTTAAGGCATTTAAAAATAGGCTCTTAAGATAATAGCCCATGTAAAAATCAGCTACCTTATTAAATATAACTTAATTAATATCTTTTATATTTGAATTCCATTAAAATTAAAAGTTAAACGGGTTAAAGATATAACCTTTAATAGAAAAACCTTTTATTAAGGCTAAATTCATTAAATTTAACTAGCTTTTATAAATAGCCTAATTAACGAAGAAGTTTACGTTAAATTTCCTAAAGGCTTTAAAAGGCCTATATTAAAGAACTAGCTATAAAATCTAATATTCTTAAAAGAGATAGCTTTAAAGAAAGTCTAATACCTGAAAATTAATTAAAACCTAATTTAAGTATTATAACTATTAATTAAATTCATTAATATTAACAGATAATTAGCTCTATTAATTATATTATAGTTATTAAAAGACCTAATATAACTAAACTAGTAGCTAAGCTAGCTAAATTCCTCTTTAATCCATTAAAAATCCACTAATAAGTTACTAATTAAGTTATTAAATACTTATATTTAACGTAATACCTAGCAATTAAATTTAATAAAAGTCCTAATAACTTAAAGCTTTAAATAGCTTTTAATATTACCTTTATAAACGATTAATAAACCTAAAGGTTATTATAAGACTTAATAATTTAACTATTTAATAAACCTATTAATTAAATAATTAATAAGTAAAATATAGTTATAATATTGTCTATTAAAGCTAAATTATTAGCTTTTGTATATATAGCTAAAGAGACTATCATAATATTTAGGCTTTTTTAATAGTTAAACCTATAATTAAATTATTTAAAGCCTATAATATAATATAATAATTTATAAACGATTCGGCTTATTAATAATAACCTTTTAAGGCTTAAAATTACTCTTTATTAAATTAATATCTATAATAATTAGATTTAATAAGCCTATTAATAAGAGACCTTTAATATTAAATTTACTTAAAGCACTAATAATTTAACTAATAAATTAATAAAGATTCTAATAGGCTAATAATTTAACCACTTTATTAAGTAATTTAAGCTTATTAATATTATTAGTATTATTAAAAGAGCTTAAATTAATTAATTTAGCTTACTTTAATAGCTATTAATAGCTTTAATAGCTAACTATTAATTTAATTTATAAGAGTATATTAACGTTAAAGGCCTCTTTTAATAGAAAATAACTATAATTTATTAGAGACTCTAATAAGCCTTAAAACACCTTAAATAGCTGCTTTCAAATTATATAAAAAGCCTTAAAAGAAGGCTCGTACTACCACCCTATTAAAGCTAAACCTTTAATAGTTAAATATTATAGAACCCCTTAAATTAATTACTTTTTAGGTAACCTGTTAAACGACCTTAATATCTATAAATAAGGGCCTATTTTTCGTACCTAGATAGCTTTGATTTAAAGGATAATTCCACTATTTAATCTGCTTCCATAGCTGTCAACGTAATAGGACACGTCTTGATCCTCATGTCTGATGGCACGAAGATCTGTGATACGATGTTATTCCGAAACACAACCGCAGGCTAGTCGACCCGAGGAAGAACTGCGGCAAAGGCCAAGACCAGGTCCTCCAGACAAACTCACATTGCACTACATGGCAGTTTTGGCCCAAAATTACGGTTTCAAGTCGCCAAAAATAAAAAGCCTATCCAAGAGACCACAAAGTTTAGAGGTCAGAGCTGATCATGCAAATCCGCTGTCGGTTACTTCGCCCAGTCCGAACCTCAGTCAACATGAGAAAACACGATATCAGTCCGGTTATCCAGATATGGCTTCTTTTAGAAATGATCAATCTTATTTGTGTTGGGATAACTTCAACAGCGACTCGATTCAAGGCAACAATGTGAGCACGTTTTGTCGACTGAGGACCATATGTTATGCTTTCTTTCGTCTTCCCCACTACGTATTGCCGTTAGATACCCGCAGGGAAGAGGGGCCTGTACGGCAGCCACGGGATGCGACATCAGGAACGAAAAACCTCAGAGCCGAGGACAGCATTATGACAAATATGGACAAGTCACATGAAGACGAGCAAACTCGGAAGCGGCCTAGGGATTCTACTCTAGTCTATTTCAAAGAATCAAAGGATATATATGGCAAGAAGTTCGCAGGGTTGAAGACAGCCACCCTGATCAGGTTAAATCAGTGGCTAATGAGCTTTCTGCAAGCTATTACTTACTTTCCGTTACGTGTAATAACAACCAAACTTGGGTCAGAACAATCCTACCAGACGATTGCCGGGATAGTGCAGAGTACTCGGGCATCAAAACTGTTCTACTGTCTCCCAGAAGCAAAAACGAACTCGACTTGGACATTATAGCAGACTTAGCTCGGAACCTGTACTAAAATAGGACCTAACAGCAATACTCTCGTAGTTGATCTTTCTCCGTTCTCCCTCCGATTTTCGTGCTTCGTTGTACTGGACATATTCTACTTGTATACTAATACCCATACTGTCTGCCTTATAACATGCCGACCACTCAGGTAGATATGATTAGATAGACACTAGTTAATGTATTACTACAGTACTAGACACAGTCGGCCTTGGACGTTTAGCACAAGCCAAATTTCGCCCAGGCTAAAAAGCAGGCGCCCAGCTACGCGGGAGTTCTCAAGCCTGCTCCACGTTCAGCCCAAGCTTCAACCTCAGGGTCAACTTACTTGGGCGTACCAATGCACCCGCGTCTGCTGGCCTTCGGCACTTAGCAGATGCTTGGATCAGCACATAAAGTGTCGCCTCCAAACAAAGCAAAAAGGGCCAAGCGGCCGCATCATAGGACCTCACAAGCGCTTTGAAATGCGGTCAGTCGGCCGATGCAATCTCGTCTACGATTTAACATCGTCTTTTAGCTTTACGGCAATCTTCTTCTTGATGTGCTCCCTTCCCAATCACTCGCTGTACCACAATCGGGTGGGTCTCATCGTCAACCACCTAGAAGCACTCCATCCAAGAGAATAGATAATTGAATATATCATACAACCAACCAATCAACTTCAGATTGCCTACTCCTGTTGACCTGACCCGTGTCTGCTTGATTGGGGTCGGACAGTAGCAGAATTTTGGATTCATTGACCTGGGTCAACTTGACTTGGGTCTGCTTGACTTGGGTCGGTATAGTAGCCGGAATTGGATTCATTGACCTGGGTCTATTTGACCTGGGTCGGTATAGTAGCCGGAACTGGATTCATTGACCTGTGTCTGCTTGACCTGTCTCTATTTTACTGGAGCCTATGCAGCCCCGGGGCAAAGAGACATAAGTCAAGTGGACGCGGGTCAGGTGGGCGCGGCTCAAGTAGACACAGGTCATATAGACACAGGTCTACAATCCACCTTTGGCTACTCCATAGAACTTGGAGAGGCAGACATAAGTCAGTAAGCAAGTGTCGATAACTCATTTCTGCATGGAGACCATGGGTGAACGCTAGGCATGTACTTCAGTTCATGACACGTTCTCCACTTCGTGCCAGCAGGAGTTTCTGGTTAGTATGGTTATAGACCACATATCAGGGTCCCTTTGCAAGAAAGCCGCTATTATAATACGTAACTCAAAATCCACCTCATTTGCTTACTCGCCTACGTTTTCTAAGATCGTCCGAATACATGCAACCCCTTTTTCTCTTTAATGGTAATGACTGTCGGTTAAACACTATAGCCCTTGTAATAACGTTACTAATAGCTGCTCTAATACGATAATTGCAACCCTCCTAAATACCAAAACCCTTGTACTCCAGCTCAATAGGGATATCGCTTCCCCTATCCCGAATGAGAAGTACTGTGTCTTTGTGATTTAGCGTAGCATAAGAGCGTTCGTTCCTCTATTTTTTGCAACGATGATCCCATAGATAAGGTTTCCCATTTTGTATAACCTTTGTAAGAACGAACTTGCAGGGTTTTCGGTAAGAAAGGTCGCTAATCGGGCTCGTAATATCGTATTTGTCCTTATAAGCGCTCCTATAACCATAGTCTACAGCATCGTGTTCATCGTCCTAGGCTTTCATTTTCTCGTCGTCCTTGTCCAAGTTATATTGGGTGAGGTTAATAACAGCATGTGGTCTCGCGGTGGGTTTCTTTTTTGGTAAGACGTGTGTCGGCGAGAGCAATGGCTCCAGTAATGGATAGTTATCATCCCCTGTTAGGTCGATTACTTGTACATTTTTCATGGCTTCTCTTGAGAACGTTGATGAGCTGCCAATCTCGGGATGCCGTGATTCCGGAGGTGTGGAATGATCTTGGGCGTGAGCTTCAGTGAAAAAAGATGAAGTGCTGGGTGTGGAGCTTGCCAGCGTCGACGTACCGTGTGTGATGTTGTTAGGTGTATGGCGGCAAAGATTTTCCGTGCGGCCTCGGCTTTGCATGTGTTTGCTTGTTGGGCCAATGGAATGGTAGCCTGGAGAACCGCTGTCATAGAAGATCTCGACAAGCTCCGCGATCTCTAGCCAGCTGCATTCATCTTCCTCGGGTTCGTAGTTGAAGTCTTGCTCTGGTGTGTCGCATAACCAGTTGAAATCATCGTTAATCGGGACATCATTGGCATGGTCCGGTAAGAATGGGGTATCAGTAGCCAGTAGTCTGCATCCTTCGAAGTGTAGGCTAGCTGGGCATATGGTCTTTACCTCATCCCCGAACTTCCATTCGCGGGAATCACAGTCGTTGCGGAAAGGCTGTGTGCAATAGCTCCCGTTGATGCTTGGGGGATCTGATTGTGGGACACTGGATGTTTGTTGTAGGTCCGCTGGCCTCTGGAACGAACTGCCCAGGTACATCAGGTCATCTGCAGCCATGATAGTTTTGGTAGTCTTCGTCATCTCGGTCGTCTAGGTCGTCTCGGCGCCTCAGTCATCCCGTTCATGTTGTAAGATCAAGGTTTCGCGAACCGGAAGAAGGGGGGATGCCGGCCTTTTTATACTCAGGCTCTGGGAGCGGCCTAGTCTTAGGTTAGCAGATAACCATTTTCAACAGTTCATCCAAGCCAACGGAAACGTTGACCCATCGTTCCATCTCCATGTCAGGTGACAGCAGGCGGTTCTTTGCTCCTCATTATTGGTGCGATGACGAACGAACGACTGTACAAGATGTAGTCTTGACGAAAGAGGCATGTCCGTTGGTGCCTTCATAGTTGACTCGCGGGTTTAATAATGGCCCCTGTAAACTTGTTGTCGGCAAGGAGCTCATGCTGGACTCGGCTGTCGTCTGCATCTGTATCCCCCACGACAGATCAGCCAGAGAAGAAGGTGAAACTTGAGCACTGTCCGTGGTCCGTGATGTGTCTAAGAAACTGTCCAGGCAGGTTGTCTCCTAGGTAGCCGTTTGGGCAGGTCCAACGCTGCCTTGAAACCTTCCAGGACAGCAGTTGCTTCGCGTCGAAGATCTCAGACGGGCCAAGTCTCCTGGAGCCAGAGAGTACTGGTCGATTGTTTTGGTGAAGTTCTAATGCCATAGACGGGTTGGCCATCTGCGGACAGGGAGCCATCAGAGTGAACAGTGTAAGCTGTGATGAGGCACTGACTCTAACCATCGCTGAGATTCTGCGGCGGATTGTTCCTTTGATGATGTCTGGAGATCGGACACCTTCGTACTACAGCGTTTCTCAACGAGGATCGGTCGTGCACATGTGGGCAGCAGTTGTCAGTTCTGCGTAGCCAGGTGGGGAAGTTTGACTGAGATATCTGGTATTTCAGTTTGGCACCCTTGCGGATTGCCGGCGGCTTGGGTTCGGTGATGCGCTTGACAAAGTGGATGGTGTTGATCGAGTGATTTCAGTCGGGCAGCAAATCGGAGCGCCTTGTTTCGAGCAGCAGGCTAACAGGATGTATGCCGCTTTCTCTGTGCAGGCCAGCAATTGGAGTTGTCCTCCAGACTGGAAGGATAGCTTTCGTACGCTGTGTGATAGCCTTCTCCATCCTACGTATCAGCCCCAGAGTTCCAGGTCCAAGTGCGTCAGGGAGTGATCACCATTACGATGTAGCAGGTGAGCGACACATGATTTTTGTTGCCTGAGACAATGGGCCAGGGAACAACTACACATCCGTGCCTTGTCCCATATTCAGTTCTCCCTGTCATGTCTCGACTGCGTGTCGCAGGCGACTACTTAGAGTTTCCGACAGTTCTAGGACTGAAGCCTCTTCCTAGCCTCCAGACTTGCCACGAGTGTGTTACAGCTGCCACATTTTCTTCATCCTTTAAATGACCTCTCGTATTTAGCCAAAAAAGGATGTGAAGTAAGCCATAGAGGCATTTGCGAAACAAGGCAACGCTTGGGATGGGTTGTGTAATTGAGCAGAAAGTTGCCCTCCTGACCAAGGTGATGGAGGGGAATGGACCAATGAATGAATGTACTCTACATATGATTGGCTACTGCGACCGAGTTGGACAGACCGATCAATGTGATCCTCATAGCTTTGCGGCTGAAATTGTCTGTTTCCCGTGGTCATGGATGTTCCAGTTACAATTCTGGCTGAATTGAGAATACACTTCCGTTGATACATGGTAGGTATTTATAGCCACAGCCGTCGCCGCTCAATGCTTTCTACTCCAAGAGACGGCCAGGTCACCATGGCTAGCACTGTAGCTGGATCTACCAAAAACGTGAACCCCTCTGAAGGCGAAAAAGGGCCTGCACAAGCAACAGGATTGCCCACACCAAATGCAACCCCAGGTCCTGACGTCTCTAGAAATGATGCGGAAAAGGTCCGGAAAGGAGCGGACATAGAAGCTGAAATACAACGTATATTACAAAGTGAAACCGACCTAAGCACCCTCGGGCTTGACGAGGCTTCGTCCACTGAAGATCGCTTGCTCGCCTTGAGGACGATTGGATGCAAGATCCATTACGAACATAGTGGACACAAGCCAAAGAAAGAGGCCAACAAAGCCCTACAGAGTAAGGTCCTGAAATGATAATCTAGTGTACGTTCTCAAGCTGACAATGGCGCAGAGCTTTGCGATGCAGCGACCAGACTTGGCGTTGAGCCTGCCTATGCCACAGCAGTCTTTCACTGGGATGGCCAAAAGGACCTCATGGCGGAAGACTCGGAAGACTCAGACTCAAGTGACTCAGACGATGCGATGGAACAAGACTCCGTCCCTGTGCCTCCAGAGTCAGTCGACGAAATTTACCAAAAAGCAACACCATTTGTGCAGAAATTGGCCAGCGATACTAATGACAAAGACGCCCATAACGGCATAGCGGCCCTTAATACGGAGATTATAAAGGCTACCAAAGAGTACAATGAGTTACACAAGAATAATAAGGCGAAGAGGGTTTCTAAAACCCAGTGGGAAATTCCCTTACGATTCTTCCAGGAGCATTATTCGCTGGTGGTAGCAAATTACAATATCCTTGCGACGGACCCGAATAATGACGAAGCCAGACAGAAAGTGGAAATGGGGAAGAAGCTGATATCCGATGCGGTCTTGCGAAATCACTGGCCTGCGGATTGGGCTTTGAATCTAATTTTGCCGGAACAAAATCGATCTCCCTCAACGCCGTTTAAATATCCATGGCCCACTCTTCAGACCGATGACGGGCTGATTATAGGAGTGAGGAAGCGGGCGGTTGGTGGACATCAAGTTTGTGTTGAGACTACTACACCAGACGGTCGCACTGTACGGAGGCCTTCAAAGCGCCTACGGTTGAAAAAGTTGGGGAATTTCAAAGCCAGTATCAAGCAAACCGACCATTTTTTATTCCAAGACCTCAAGATGACGATTCCAGGGGAAATCCAGACACGGAGTTTTACCGCCGAATGTACAGAACACTTCACCCGCAGTTCTCAAGGAGCACCAGCTCATCGGTATCGAACAGCAAGAAGATTCAACAAATAACAGGGAGCGGTCTCGACGGCATATCTTCAAAAATGTGGCATGCTGGAATGTTTCCGTCTTTTTGAGAAATAAATAGACACTACCTCCTCATATCCGTATCGCATAGCCCAAAATAACGGGGTTAGGCCGCGTTCGTTAACCCTTTCGAAATTTAATGAGCGTGCGTATGAAGCAAACCGTCTTGCGAGATTAAACCCCCCTTCTTTCATAGTAACATGTAATAGCGAGCTTTTAAATCTGTCTTCCGCATTAAAGTTGATATTTCCGGATCGTAGTATTGAGCATGCATGTTCAGACTGAATATACATGAGACTCATAAGTGGTTTTGGGGTGCTAATCTTGGGGTTTGTAGCTAGGAAGTATAACATTCCTTCGTCGTAGCGGTACCGGTCAAGAGCAGTGTCAAGTGCAGATAGACCCGTTTCATCTTTAATATGAACATCCACTCCGTCGATAGACAACATGGCTTTTAGTAGATGGCCACCCTTATTCTTTGCGGCATAAATAAGACCATTGTCGGTCTTCCGTATCGCGAAGTACTTTAGGCACCCATGAAAATAGCCTTTGCAAGTGTACAGAAAATGTCGCAAGTGCTCACTTTGCAGATTGTCGAGAATCATGAGCTCAATGTCGGCGGAAACGGGAAGTCCCATGGTGGTATTTACTTATCCGGGGATGTGATTGCTTTGAGACCCATGGAATGTTGCAATATTTAGCGAGGAGCAGAGGTAATTCTCGTGGTCGTGGATCGAATTTATGAAGGCGCAGTTTCCTGAGCTGTAGATTTGAAGAGCGAGAGGTGTAGCGAGGTGGGAAGGGAGGGGAGGAATGGCACGGCTATTTATACACTGGTAGACAACCCTTACGTCAGCCTGTCAAGCAGATCGATGAAACCAACAAGTCATCACATACATGTCTTCCTTTGCTTGTCGGGTCATTCAAGCAGGTTCCCCCGATAGCTTATGGTGGCAAATTCATGTGTTGAGGTCGACAATCTTGTTCTCTAATCTGCTCTCATTCACGTGTGGGCACTGAGCAAAACCTGCACAGCTTCTCTGTTCCTTCTTTGGCCCTTCAAGAACAATGATGGCATCGTCCAACTTCATGTTGGTTGCTTCAAAAGCTATCTGAGCAGTTCCCTGGGCTGTCCTAACGTAGTAAAGACCAATGTCACCACCCACCTCCAATACTCAGGACGGTATGCCCACTGTGAGGGAAAAGTAAGTGTCGGTTGAGAGGAGACTATGCCAAAAGTACAAGTTTGCGAAGCGGTGGGAGGTTCGCTCTGGAAAGGTGGAGCTTCGGCGTGGACCTGCGGAACGGCGGCGAGGGCGTCTTACGCGATCGGCTAACCTGGCGGGAACTACCAGACGTAAGAAAACGCGGGCAGTTAGCCACTTGCGCTGGGTGGATGCAGAATAAAGATACACTATGCTATAATGTTGTACAACTTGCAAACCAAATATTTCGCTCTGTATTGCCCTATGCTACTGGGTATGTGTACATTTTGTTCCTTATCTCTCCACTGCTCTGCATATGCGAACATGTACCGTGAAAAATGCTGCCTCGAGCTACGGAAGCACATGAACTAAACTCGGCTTTGCAGCGATTTGCCTTGGGCTAAACGCTGACTCCGGCGAAGCCCAGGCTCGCCTAGCGTTGCCTCTGAAACAACATGTTCCCTACCATCGCCTCGCTTGACTCTCTTTGATCGTGTCGGGGGTATCTTATCATCATCGCGTTGCCTCTTCTTGTTCTCTCTTGTGTTGGCGCATGCTTTAGTTTTCACCATCTTATTTTGCTGGGACATCTCCAGCTCGATTAAACTCGCCTCCTTAATAATCCACTCCACTCGATGTCTCTGGTAGTACACTGCTGTCTGAGCATGCAGATACGGTTCTGTCTCTCGAATAAAGTCGTCAAGTGTTTTGTTAGTTGCAACCAAGCTAGCGTGGGTTGCTTCCAACTCCTTGGCCATATTGACAATGTCCGCCGGTCGTCGTCCTGCTTTTTGCATGAACCTTGATGCTGATGAACTACACCCTTTTGCTTCTCTCGACGAACCCCGTGGTGCAGTGAGCATCCTTCTCCAGGCTTCACGGTATCGATCCTCCAGAGGTTCCGCAAGCGCAGTCAGCATTTCCAAACACCATTTTTCGTAGTTAAGGTACTCTAGCCAATTGGTCCACTGGGTCTGTTGGCGAGGGTCCTCCTTTAACTGCAAAGCGCGGGCGAATTGGTACGGTGCAAGACGCCTTCTGACTGCCTCTTTGTATGATGTAAATGAGTTAGATTCAGGTAGTTGCCGGGACACTGGCTTGTGTTGCCATAATCGCCTGACTGTTTCCTCGAATGAAGGGTCGGAGACCATCCTTGTAGCACCCATCCCCTCATATTTGCGCTTGTTTGCCTCCAAGAAGGAAGAGAATCCCGCTTCAATATCAATCCTTCTGTTATCCCATTGTGATTTACGAAAGTCCCACCACCGCGTAAATTGCCTCGAAAAGACGGTCTTTATCTCCCCATCCCAAACCTCAGAGTCTGGGTCGTCACTGAGCCACGGCATAATCGCTTTATACCTGGCCCTAGGCTTTGCAAGGATATATGTCAGATCTTCGATGGAGCAAACAGGCCGGCCGCCGTCGTTAACGAGCTCTTGATGGCAAGAAATTTCAAGGGACATGAAACTAATGGGTGGTGTGCTTGCGGTCGACTGAAATGACGCGGCGGGCGAGCGCGAGAGATCATGTTCTGAAGAGTCGTTTCGCTCATCGGCTACCCTTGTCAGGCGCGTGAGAAGATCTTCAATCTCGAGAGTCGAATTATCCAGCGTAGGAGCCGCACTTCTACGGAGAACGGTTATTATTGAAGGTCTAATACATCAAGTAGAGTCGTAAGTCTTCTCACCTGAGTTTCTCTGCTAACTCATTTCGCTGATCCTTGGAAAGATTCTCCACGCCCAGAAGACCTGAGATGTCGAACCCACCACCATTTACAGCGTTTCTCTCCAAGTACTGAACGAGCTGGCTTTCATCAAAAGCTAGGACGTCAGTGGCAGTCACAGTAGCGTGGAGGTCTTTGGCGACCGGCATCTGAAGTAGGGCGTATACTACCGGCGCGAACGGAAAAAAAAGAGGGCCCTCGCAGTTCACGGTCGTGAAAAACGCGAATGCTTGAGAGAGCAAAGGTTCAAGTGCGGCAAATGATGGAAACGCGGAGCCTGGTGGGACCATATTCTTTCTTCAACCCACCCCTGTCCTGGTCAGCTGTGGGTCGCCCGTGACCAAAGCTCTTCAGTCACCAAACACACTTCAACCGATCAATGCTGTCACAAATTGTTAAGGCTCGGAACCAGTCTATATGCGAATGTATACATGTCTTCACAAGATTCTGAGCAGTTTCTTGGCTACGCTGAGAATGTGTCACAACGTGAAAATGCTAATGGGTTGATAACTGCCCCGTTGCTCCTCCCCTGTGCGTTCATAGTTGTGTGTGTACAGTTACCAGCGCACAGTGTACGTGTTCGTGGCGGTCACCTTCTCCCCTTCCCCAAGTTCATTCAATCCTCTGGCCTCGTTTGTGACCTGCCGGTCCGAGCAGCGATTTGATGCGTCGATTCAGGATCAGCATGCAGTAGATCTGAAGCGCCCGAGCGCACATGCTTGAAGGACTGCGGCATCGATGCGGCTGGTCTAGTATCCGCCAACCACATTCGCTTCCGCATCTGACGTGGCTCCTCTGTGTCCGACGTTGCGTGCTTACCACCCTCGCTTTTGGGACGGTCCCTTCATCTGAGCTTCTCCGACGTCCGCTCCTATGGCTTCGGCCTCGTTGCTGCTTCTCGGGCTGGTTTCACCAAGGCTTTCATGACGCCATGGCAATCCATCCACCATGCTCGCCTGCGGCATGGCGACAGAAGTGGCAGAAATCTGGCTCGGCTGAGTGCTTAGGACTTCTGACCACTCCCCTTCGTTCACAACACAGTGGCAATCTGTAAGCTGACCTGAATCCTCGTACATGACTTGTACTGTCCTTCCAAATGTAGCCTCCAAGCTTTTTGAAGAGACAAGCTGGATATCCGGACGAACAGTGCATGGGGCGTCGTGCATCGAAGGTTTTGGAGTAGTTACACTCTTGTTTTCGTCGTCTGACTCTTGATGTCGAGTATCACTAATGCGTTTTAAGAGAGTTCTCGCCTCGTCATGGTAATAATCTGCCGATGACCTCTCTTCAGGGTCTTCAACCAGCATGTTATCAAGGAGGAACAAAGAAGCTCGTTGTGTTGGATCTGCCAATGGTGGGTAACGTGGCTTTGTATCGCATTTATCCAAGCCTCGGCGTCTGTTTCCCACCCTTCCTCATACACTGGAAGCCCTCCGCACTCGACCGACGCGACGACAACACCTAGAGACCAAATATCAACTGCCACGCTGTATGTATCGTTGGCTGTCCCTTTGCGATCAGCCGCCTCAAGATATATTTCTGGAGCTGCCCATAGTAGTGTGCCGCAGAATGTCTTAAGGCTATCTGCCGCTTTAGAAAGGCCGAAGTCTGCGAATTTGACATATATGCCTTTGACATCCCTGTCAACTACAAGATCGCGCTCCGTTGCTCCTAGACTCGGACGTGACAGCCCGACAGCCCAGCGCGTGTCATAATAGCCACAACTCCCTGCTATACTCCCAGTTCCTTTTCAGTTACGACTTCCTTTACAATGCCCACCTCGGACCCTGACTGTTTACCCTTCACCGACAGCACCACATCAGTATTATTTGTAACACTACACTCCGTTACCGCGATTGCGGCTAGCCCGAGCTGCGCAAAACTTGGGTGGGTTGAGCCATGCTTAGTGCTCCAAAACTGCATCAACGATTCATGTTCTGCACGTGGTCTGGGAGCGCTATTTCCCTCGCCGAGTTAGGCGGAGGTGGCAAGTTAAATCTCAAAGTTTGTTCATGTTGCACGGGGTTGTTGTGACAAGGGCTCGTTAGAGGGCTTGGAGCAATTTGGCTCTATTCATCTAATAACAGTCTTTGGTATCAAAGGTCCTTGGTTTTCCTTAGGCCTCGTTGACCAAAGACCTCTTTAAATACAAGAAATTGGTGAGGAACTTTGCCCTAGGTCTCGTGACCGTAGCCCTTGTGTAACCTTTGACATTGGGCCATTTCCGTGTAACAGTTGCCCAGGTTCAGAGCCGGCAGATTTACCTCGGACATATTAGTGTGGGCCAAGTCGACGAATTGAAGTCACAAGTGATTGACGGGCCCATGTTGACTAAGTTTCTGTGGCCGTTAGAAAGCGAGTGGTTCGGCTTTTGAGACTAGAACTCGATGATCATCGCTCAATTTGGATTTCCTACATCAACGAGAATACCATCTCTGCCTCGCTCAGCGCTATCTCCGTTACGGCCAATTGCGTAGCATGTTTCAACCTACTGCGTTCCCGCCCGCACAGCATGTAACATCTTGCCACTTATATCCTCTCATTGGACAGGATATCCATCAACGATTCCGTATCATCAACTTCCCCATCCAATGCAATAGATGGACCTGGTCTTTGGAAAAATGCAAACTCAAATTCTGGTGGATAAAAGCCTGCGTATTCCCAGTCATAATAGCCGTAATCTTGAGAGTATTAGGATCAACGATAACATTGTTGGCAGAAAGATCATTGTGACAAAAAACAAGATCTTGCGTTTCCCGCGGCTTCATTTCCCAGGGCCTGCCATTAGAGTGTCTCATGATGCGGTAGGGAGGCAGAACCTATTAACGCGTTAATTACTGGTCATTAAGCTACTAGGGAAGTTCTCACCAAACCGCTTGGACCGCCCCAGACATTAGACGTTAACTTGCTTAGGGTTTCCATATGAGTGCGGAGCTCTTTGGCAACCACCTCTTGCTTCTCGACATCAAGCTCGTTCGTACCAACTCCTTCAACGTACTCTGTAATGAGGTACGCGGCACCATCGTCTTCAAAACAGGCATAAAGTTTAGGTAACGGGATATTCGCGTTTGGCAAGAAAAAGAAGGCAAGGGCCTTCGTTTAAAACACGTTCAAGGTTGAATAATGGTATGGGCATGTAACCGTTACGCTTCTGCCATTCCCAGGGTCGCAGACTTCGCTTGATCCAAGTCTGTCCGACCCCGTAGTATTTCTTCTCATGAGTAATTGCAATACAAGACTCTTCGCGCTTTGCATTTAGCTCTGCGTTGGTAGGAGGTGACATTGGGCGGCGTTGAAGAATTAATGCAATGTTTAACAATACGTAAATAATAGGTGGAAAGGCTCTGTGTTGTATGATTGGAGGCTGTTGGGCTTAAATACGCCGAGTAATAGTTATGTAATCAATTCTGAACCCCGCTGTTCATTGTGAGAACCCGGGGAAAGATGGATTTATGTCGCATAGGATATAAGGGGGTATAACACCCAAAATACTGTGGCGTGGGCCACGTCCATTTTTTGTGAGACAATTTATATGCCCATTTCGGCCGACGCACCGATGCATGGCTTTCAGAAGTCTGGTCTCTCTCTGTAGCCTATGACCTGGTTAACTGAAAACAGGAATTGACTCGTCTAGCCAGTCGCAACACGAAGCGGGCTTTTATTACGGGAAAATACTCACGTAAAAGCTGGGCGTTTTACTATCGGCTGAATGTAAAGTTATTAGATTTGCTTTACTTTGCATTGAGTGTGCCTTTGTCAAAGAAGGCAGCGCGGATCGAGCTGTATCTATCAAAGCCGGCGTTCGGTGTAGTTCCAATGTCTGCACAGGGAGTCCTTTTTTTCCACCGCACCTCCTGAAGATGTTTTGGAAATAAAACCTCTGCCGGTACAAGGAGGGGATTTCCGGTATCGTCCTACACTGCTTTGATGGTAGAGAAGCCAGCTGGACTGGGCCTATCAGGACCATTTGCGTAGCCCACAGAGAGTTGACAGCTTGGTGGTGTGGCTGCTCATGTCGGGACCTTGTGATGGCTTTCCTATGATAACTGATATCAAGTTAAGTCTTACCTGGAAGGACTCGCAGAAGCATTTCGCGATAAAGTGGCGAGGGTAACTAGAGTGGTGGTTTTAGCATTGGCAGTGCCAACTATATCATGAACTCTTTGAGAACCTGCAATGAAAAGAGAGCCAAATACTAAGGGATAACGCAAGGACTAACATTGCTACGACTAGATATACTCATACGGAAGAAGCCTCTAGACCCTGCCAGGGCGCTTTGAACCGCATCTTGCCAGCAAAACCGGTTGACTGATAACCTCAAGGGCACCACATGTCGACCTCGACATTTCGCAGCTTTCCCAGCAGCTCGAAATCCAAACCACTATGTCTGAAGGCAACTATTATCAACTCAAAGCTCACGTCTAATGACGCGACGGACCAGTCCTTTTCGTCGAACCTGGGAATCTGAGGGATGGAGTCTTGAGAAACAAGAGGATCGACCCAACTGACTTCGACCTTGTTCGCCAGGATCAAGTTCCTTGCCAATTCCAATCCGGGGGAGTTTATCAGATGAGCCTGTCCGGGTTTGAAGCCCATACCAACCACCAAGATGCGTGGCCGACAAAAGGGCAGCCGTCTGCACAGCCTCGTCACCACTCGCTCCGCTATCTCCCTGGGGCGGCATACCATTTTCTCAGATGCCGCCTGGAGAATTGGGAAGCTGTTATTGGAAAGCAGGTAGTAGGGATTGACTGGGATGCAATGGCCTCCTACTCCAAGACCAGGCATAAGTGGGATATAGCCAAAAGGCTTGGTCGCGGCCGCATTGCATACTTCAAACGGGTTAATGCCGTGCGAGATGCAAGCATCGGCCATTTCATTTGCATATGCTATGCACACCATTCGCTGACAGTTCTCATATAGTTTCGTCATCTCGGCCACCTCTGGGCTCGACACAGGAGTCACCTGGTCGAAGACCCTCGAGTAGAGCTTGTGTATGGCGGCCAGCGACCCTGGGACCTCATCGTCAAGGCCGGAGATGATCTTGGGTATGGCGTGTGCGGGAGGCTCTGTTCGGCCGGGATCAACTCTCTCGGGCGACATTCCAGCAAAGAGTCCGTTCTTCCTGGCGAGTGGTCCGAGGTATTCACGGGTCATCCCGACGGCGACGGAACTTTCGATAATGACTGTTGATCCTGGCCGCGCGATCCTGGCAACTGTAGACAGTGCGTTACGGAGAAACGATGAATCGATGCGCTTGTCTGGTAGCAGCAGCGTTGGCACTGATATGAGAAAATGTGTGGCCTGGCTCATTTCTGATGGCGACGATGAAAACCTCACTCTGCTGTTGCTCTCAAAGGTCTTTTTCAGGTGACGAGTTCTAGATTCGGAAATGTCGTATCCAAGGACATTATACGCTCGCGAGAAAACTTGAGCAAGGTGATGTCCAACGTAGCCGACACCAATGATGGCTACCAGAGGCTGAGTTGTGACGGAGACGGGATCCGTGATTGGGAATACCTCTTGTTCAGGCTCGGCCTTCTCCCCAGGAGGAGTTAGATCATAGTGAATGCGATTGTCAAAGTCAAATGAAGTGATGCCTTCGGATACGACAGCGGCCGGAGTCTGGAAAGAAGAGCTTTCAAGCTCGAAGGGTGTACTGATAGTATCTTTCATCATGATCAGAATAGCTGGCTGGCTCACTGTCACAATGGACATGAAGCACTACACTCAAATTCGACATATATATACATGTTATATCAATTTATTCCATCTCGAGGTGAAAAGAGATGTAGAGGGACTTGGTAGCCCAGTTGGTGCCGCGTCATATTCACTTCACGACTCGCACAGAAACATCTGGTCTGTCCTCGTTTGCTTTGTAGAAGTCACGTCGGGAAATGTTACATGGGTTGAGTAAATAAGGAAAACACAGCATCAATGACCTTTCAAGCTTAAAGATTACGAACAATGCTGCAGGGTGGCTTTACTTCAACTTGCGCTGCAGCTGAAAATTTGGTTGCATTCCGGATCCAGGACGCAGAGTCTTAGCATCCAAATTGAGTTCAATCTTTTATGCAGTATTCAAGTCAGCCCATCCGGAGGGGCTTGAACTTGAACTATGAATCAATCGGCGCTGTTCCGATGGTGTCCCGCGTTCGGGCAAACGGGACGTGTATAAGATCTATCAACCCCCCCGCAAACGATGTTGTGTAATGCATGGATGGCTCGTATAAGTTGAATTTACCGTGGAGTTAATAATAGAAGTTTCCGTTTTCTTGCTCGGGGATATTTCTGGCCACGCGACACAGCGAATTACAACGAACGCCTACTTGATGTACCGCTTCTGACCTGCAAGAGTCTTATACGAGTGTTGCCTATCACAGCATGATCGGCATGGAAGAAAAGGGGAACACAGGAGGGTTGGGTCGGACCAGTTCAATCATTTCAACGTTTCACCGGTCCTTGGCGGGGACTTTCCGGGTTGCCTTGTTCACGCTGCATCCAAGAAAATTGCGGAATTGGTAGCCAACATCGGATTGTTAGTGGTCTCAGCCAGCCCCAGACATACTGCCAGTTCCGTGTGGACTTGTCTGTGCGCTCATCCCGGAAAGAAAGTAACCCTATTTCATTATTCGAATCTTGGGTGTACCTGCTGGTTCATGCCCAAGACGGAACGTTCCATACAATAGAAGGGAGTGTAATTCCCCTCCGGAGCCGAAGACCTACCTAAAAAAGGCCATATTCACTGAGGCTTGGCCAATATATTGGAGCAACTGTGAGTCGTGAAACAACGTAGGCCAAGTCTTTCACGTTCATTTGTTGAAACGGCGAAGCTGAGTGTCGTATATCTTTCCTATTGATACCTGCCCATCCACAACCCTGCCACTTCTGCGCCAAGGATAAACACGCGGCAATATCGCCAAACGTAAGTTCTCAGAGATGGATTTAATATTAGAAATAGCTTGTGACACGAAAGAGCACTTCTATAACAAGGATGTATCTACCAGAACCAGTTGCCAAAACCACTGTCGTAGTAGACTCACATCTCTTACTCTATGTCCCGTCATAAGATTACCGTCACTCCCAGCCCTGAAGCAAACAAAGTCTGTTTATTATAGTTCTGTTCTCTTCCTAGCTGCATTTAGCTCATTATTCTCGACCCAGAAGACGTCCGGGATAGCCTACTCAACCGTGATGACACCAAGACTCGGCCTCCTCCTTGCTGTGTACTTCCAGAGCCTGGAAGCCTCCCGTTTCAATCGGGAACTAGCCTCCAATGAGAAGGCGATATGCGGTCCCGGCGAGGGATCATGTGAAATGGGTTCATGCTGCTCAGAGATGGGGTTTTGCGGCACCACAGCGGAGTATTGTTCAGGCTCGCAGTGTCAATTAGACTACAGTCATACTTGCGATACGCTGTGAGCACCGAAACCAGATTTGCAAGACGTTGATGTAATTGGCTGACCAGCAGAGCGTTAGGGTGCCTCCTGATGGCAGTGATACTTCAGAAATATCCCGACCACGGGTTGGCAAAGTCCCATATGGTAACTGCTCGCAGATTTTGCCCGAACGGGCACCTTGGACTAACGATTTCAGGGCCCCTGATCACATCATGCAACAATCCGGGGATGGTAGCTCTGACGTTCGACGATGGTCCCTACGTCTATACCACGGAAATTTTGGACCTTCTCGAAGAGCACGAGGTCAAGGCCACCTTCTTCATCACGGGTGATAACCGCGCCAAGGGACATATTGATGACCCGGCAACGGGCTGGCCAAGCATCCTGCGTCGCATGTACCACGCGGGCCACCAGGTCGCTAGCCACACGTGGACACATCGTGATCTGAATCAGGTCAACGAGACAGTGCGGCGGGCAGAGATTATCCACAACGAAATGGCCATTCGCAATATATTTGGCTGGATCCCCACGTACATCAGGCCCCCATTCCTGGAATGTTCTGCTGGTTCTGGGTGCGAAAAAACCTTGGGTGACTTGGCATACCACTCCATCTCGGCCAACTTGGATACCAAAGACTACATGTATGATGACCCAGCCCTGATACAGAGGGCAAAGGACCGGTATTCTAGCACCTTGTCTCTGAATTGGAAAGAGAACTCGTACATTGTGCTGGCTCATGATGTTCATGAACAAACGGTACACAATCTGACGGAATTCATGGTACATCTCGCGAGAGAAAGAGGCTACAAGCTCGTAACGGTGGGTGAATGTTTAGGGGATCCTAAAGAGAACTGGTACCGTTGGGCAGAGAGCTCTTCGAAAATGGCTAGGACCGTTAGGAAGGGGAACCTATGCTCGGGACCAGCCAAGCCACAGGTCACATCCGTCTCACCTCCCCGGAATATGAGTACCAAAATATCGCCCAACCAACGTTGTGGTGGGAGTACAGGATACATCTGTCCAGGGTCCGGCTTTGGGGACTGCTGTTCCCACTACGGGTATTGGTATGACACTCTGCCTGCGAGTTCATTTTCTTTTGACTAACTCTGTCATACAAGCGGATCAACTCCCGAGTTCTGTGGTACGGGGTGCGACAATGACTTTGGAGACTGCGATCCATCCCCAGAAGGTATCTTGGAGACAACGAATGGCCTATGTGGCGCCCGGTACTCTGCAACTTGTCTTCACTTTCCAGGAAAAACGTGCTGTTCGAAGTATGGGTACTGGTACGTGCTGTTTCTCGTCGCTATATTTAGTGGTTCTGACCATTCAAGTAGCGGGAACCAGATCGAGAATTGTGGTGAGGGATGTCAGGAGAAGTACGGTCAATGTGATTGAACGACGGTATTTTGTGGTCAAGGTGAAATATGGACTTTGGTCGCTGCCTTGTTGAGAAGGCAAGGGGGCTCGGATTTCCGTGGTTTGCTCTGGGATTTGCTTAATGCTTTGCTATCGAAATGTGCCATTCTTTGTTCCCAAGATCTGCGGGACAGCCAGCGCTGCTGTTCAATTTGATTGCCTGCCGATCTCTTGACTGTATTCACTAAATATGTTGCAAACCAGAATTTTCTTCCCATTCAGCCTCGTTCCGGCATCAATCCTTTGAGAACAATCAGTATTGAAGAAAAGCCGTCGACGTCCGAACTCACTGGTGGTGCCCGTTTGAGATGGACAGATACCACACAGATACTCGATATGTCAGTGCTGGGCATATAATTACAGTCGGTGCCAGGCTTAGTCAAAGACGTCGCATGAAAACGGCTCCAGGTACTGTAGTAGCAGTGCATAGTCGGCAAGCACTTGTGCTCGGTTACATGCTGCATTTGCGAAGTGCACCGAGACTCATAAACAGCATCCTATAACCGAGCACAAGTGCTTGCCAACTGTTTGACTGGACCGTTTACAAGCCAACCTCGGGAGTGTATCCCATGCTGTAACACTGGTACAACCACAATGTTCTGGACACGAGGTTCTCCACCGTTGCGGAATAATTCCTGCCGTGTAGCGAAGCGTACTGTTGTGTTATCCCGGAATTCCCATGTGTCGCACGTGGTACCAGGCAGCGCCATCGTCTTCGTAGGTTGCTGTGCAACGGTCTCTTATAGAGGAACCATGTCTCAGCGTAGCCTTGTATCTCGGGTATTGCGGGAATGGTGAGGATGCATTTCCGGTGCATGAATGGAAACACCAAGCCACTAAGAGCTTAACAACACAGCAAGCTTACTCCTTTCTAGATACAGAGTGGCTTTCGTCAAGACTTGTCCAAGGACCATGGGACTGTTTCATCTTGGAGGCATAAATTTTGAATGATTGGCAGTGACATCTTTGCTAAGACTGCCCACCACCGTGGTGGTTCACAATGCAAACCCTTGTCCGCAATCCGAGAACATGGCTTTAATGATATGTATAGATTAAGGCTGCCCCTGGCTCTAATTCCGCATATTCCACCCAATGTGAGCTTGGCTCAAAATTACGGCTAAACTGGCGGCCAAATACGCGATGGCAGTATTTAGGTGAAGGGCGGGTGCAGCAAGAGCTATCGTGGTACCAGCAAGCAAGGTCTGGGGGTTTCGAGCGGCAAGGTGTACGAGAAGATGGCATTCGTGTCGATATGCACTCGCTCGACTTCGTATTGTGACAAGGAGCTTCGTCAATGCCAACCCTCAGTATCTTTTCGTTTGATGATGGCTTTCTCGGGCAGGCAAACGGGCTTACTCCGATCCATGGGTAGGGAAGATACCCGCCATATTTAGGTGACGCTTGAATCTCACGCCATGAAATGTAGTCTTTGGATCGCTTATAGAGCGGTATGTCTGCCACTGGGGCCAATGTACCTGAAATACATTTACATATGCCCTGAACTGGCAGGCGAAGGGCATGGCCTTCGCTATTCTTTACTTGACCTTCAAGCAGATCCCGATACTGCATAGTCTTTTCTATTCATTGATGTAAAGCATCTTTAGCTCTGAAAGGGACCGCATACGTCTTCAGATTCGCAAGGTGGGATTGCCCAAGATGGAGAATTCCACTCTCAATTGGCCCCTACCCAACAATATAAGAGGCTTGCCGCCGATACATTATAGGTTGCATCCACCAGTGTCCTTTCGAGGATCAGGGTCAGGATTGCTTAATTCGAGCGACTCTGTAAGTATTGTCAAACTTGTCCATTGCCTACCAGTCTGTTGATAGTGTCTAGACACTTGCTCGCGCAACGCCACAGGCGCCCGGTTCCCAAACCCCACGCTCCATCGAATCTGCAACATCCGTTGACTCTCAATTTCACACGTCGAATGTTTCACTCTGGGGAGATGTACGACAAGAGGAAGCCAAGTTACGATGGGACGCGGAAGAAGAGCTGAAGAGAGTATCCAAGGAACTCCTTCGGCTTCAAAAATGGGCGCTGATCACAGGGCTCGTGGTCTTGAATTCTGCCCTCATCACCATAAGCTTTCTACTACCACAAGCAGTATACCTATTCCTGGCCTTGCTTAGTTGCAACACCATACTGCAAGCCGGAATGGTTGTATGTATCGTGGCTAATGTGATATGGACCAAGGTTATATGCGGTTGTCGTAGAAAGAAGGCCACAACGCCCGCGACGCCAGAAAGGATGGTTCTTCTGCTCCCTTGTTACAATGAAACCAAAGAAGAAATAGCGCGGTCGCTAGATTCCCTCATTTCTCAGAAAGGGATTGATGAGCACCCGCGACTTGTTTTCATCGTCGTGGACGGAAATGTGCGTGGTCCCGGAATGGAAAAGACAACGCAAGACTATTTCCTCGAGGACATACTCGAGCCGGGGACTTCAAAATATTTCGAAAACGGGTACCGCGCAAGAGATGGACTGTTCATGCCGGTCAAAACACGAGTAGGTCGATACAAGGGCATACCGTTTGTGTTTGTGGGGAAACGATATAACCAAGGCAAACGCGACAGCTTGTGCTTTGCCCGGTCTTTCTTGTATCACTTCAAGAAGCGGTCGGTAAACGCTGTTACAATCTTCAACAAGGAGCTGTTTGAGTATCTCGGCAACTGCCTGCTGGAAAATGGCCTGGCCGACGTGGACTACCTGGTCGGCATGGACGCCGACACCGTCTTCGACGACTTTTGTGTCGTCGAAATGGTCAATACCATTCGCAAGAACCCCAAACTGATTGGAGTTTGCGGCCACGTTTGTGTGGATTTTGACGGCAAGAACTTTGGTCTGTGGTCCCTGTATCAATCCGTCGAATACTCCCAGACCCAAGGTTTGAGGAGAATGTTCCAGTCGAGGATTACGGGCAAAGTCAACTGCCTCCCCGGATGCTGTCAACTTATCAAAGTGGATGAAGCCACATTTGGAGACGCTGTCCTACGCGAGCGCTTCGGCTACTGCCCCAAGCCCAATGACGTTATGACGCAGCAAATCATGGGCAACTATTCCGAAGACAGTATTCACGCGTCCATCATATTCAGCCTGTTTCCCAAGAAACAAACTGCGCAAGCCCTCCGCTCCAAAGCATTCACTATCGTCCCGCAAACGTGGAATGTGTTTCTATCGCAGCGAAAGCGCTGGGCGCTAGGAAGCATCTCAAACGAATTCGTCATGATCTTTCGGCCGGGAATCATTCTTGTTGAACGGCTGCAGAGCATCGTCGCAGTCATGACATGGGCCATCACGCCGTTCATCATTTCCGCGGTGGCGCAACTGATTGCGCTCTTTGCCAAGAAGGGCGCAAAGGTTTTCGAAGATGAGATATTCGTTGGTTTAATTTCTGTACTCTGGGTCAGATATGTAAGTTCTTCAACCACAAAGTCCGGAGCCTCGGGACCAGGGCTCAGGGTTACAACAGGCTTGACTGACCACAGGTCCATCTAGCTATACTCTTTCTGCATTGGCTTTTGGCTTCCAAGAAATAACCTAGAGAGAGTTCAATATTTCTTTGGATTTATTATCCACTTTTTGTCCTCGCCGTTTATAAACATAATCATCTTGATCTACTCATTATTTTACGCAGACGACTTCAAGTGGGGTAAGACGAGGGAAGTTATTACTTCTGATGGGGAGAAAGGTGACGGGCTTGGTGGACGAGGGACGCACTGATGAGGGCAGGTGATGAGGGACTAGTCGTATAGGTAACTTCTTTACTTGGTAAATCATACACAAGCGTTCGTATCTCTGCCGGCCTAGTCAAGGGTAACTTCCAGTCTCTGTATTGGCCAAAAAGTCTCTCAACTACAATTCGTAAGTCGACTTGCCCCTGAATGATGCATACCGCGTAGCCTGACTGCCGTCTGGACGAAACTACTCATAAGTGACCAAGTCGTGTATACGTCTTCTCAGCTGTGGACGAATTGCTGGCTCATGGTAGTTGGAAGACTAAAAATTGATCATTCCATTTCAATAATATCATAAAAGTACTAACGGACCAACACCGGGGCCAGGACTATGGATTGAAAAATCACAAAAAAAATTGAAGACAGCATAACAAATACATCAACCAGAAAAAGAAGAAGAAAAAAAACTCAGCGGGTTTTCCTTTCCTGGCCCTTTTCACACCGTTCAACGCAGCCCAACATCCTCACCTCTAACCACCCTTGGTTTCCTTTTTATATATAAAAACTGGCACTCGGACAACTCGGCCCGCTTCGTACAAGGCAAAGTGAATATTGCAGAGCATATCACATTTGTCAAAATACTTCTCACCACTTTTACCAATGATTCCCATGCCCTCAAACGGTGCATCCAGATTCTTCACGTCGCCAGCGACATCAATATTCCCAACGATGATGAGGCCAGACCTGTGACGACTCAGCAAAACGTTCAGCCGGTGCTCGTCAGAGGTGAAACCTGGGCCCGTAGAAGACGTTGTCCCCATGATGATCACCACAATGTCACCTTCTTGGCCCTGGAAGGAGTCGACTGTCGCGGCCGGACGCATGGGCTTCAAGGCAATAAATTCCGCGATCTTTCTAAGCTTCTCGATGGTGCTGATATTAGCTGAGTAAGGCGAGATGATGACCATGTCTTGCGGCCTTGCGCCAAACCTTTCAACAAAGTCGACCAGTAGCTTCAGCGCCACTCTTACCTGGTCTGGGCTTCTAATTGAACCAGAAAATTTATCCCGAGAGGCCTTAGAGCCCATACAGTGCACTAATACGGGAAAGAGCTTTCCATCTGGAGCGGTCGTGAGCGTTGGAAACTTACTTGAGATATAGCTCTAGTTGACGGCCAATCATATGTTAAGGTAGGGTGATCTCGCAACCCGGGCCGAGGTGAAGGGAATATCTCTGTAAACCTGCTCATATATCAGGTCGAACTGCCCGACAGCCATCCGCAGCTGGACGTGAGGCCTGTAGACGGGCCAGCCCATCGACTTGAAATACGGTATGGGCGAAATCGCTCCATCCCCAGCGAACCTGTTCGAAAAGTTTCCCTCTCCATCCAGCTAGAACTTTGTCATTACAGTCGGCGGCAGTTGTTTTCGTTGCCAGCAAGTAGCCATGGCTGACAAGTATTGCCCCAGACACGCAGCAGGTCTGGCCGATTCATGTTGCCAGCCGCGTCGATTACAAATCCCCGGGCCTTCTCCTTCTTCCATTGAAGGAAAGGCTCTCCCCATGACTGAGATGGCGTCGTTGCGATGACATCGGCCACGTGGATAATGGCCGTCATGATGCCCTTGATCGAGTCATCTGTCGCCATTCCGCCCTTCTTACAATCTGCCCAGCTAATGACACCTGTTGCAACTGCGCGGAGAGTTGTAAATATAGAGCTTTTGCCGTATCTGTCGCGAATGGCGAGCAAGTCCGCTTTATCGTCTGGACCGAGTTGTCGCACGGTGGGAGCTCTGAGGACCACCAACGCCCAGTACGCCAATGACAAATGCAGCTTCCATTTGAAATCTGGGGACCATGGGGACTTGAGAACAGCCTTGTCGGCACCGTGAGGATTGCGAAGGACATTTTTAAAGGCCGTTAGCTCATCTTTGATCCTGTACGCGCGAATAATAAGCTTCCGCCGATAATCGGGCGAGTCGTCCTGTCGACTGAGCTTGACTTTTAGTCGTTTTGTCATTCGACCACTAACGACATCTAGACGTGCGTAGGTCCCGACAAATACGGCTTTCCCAGAGTTTGAGCCGTTGAAAGGGCTCCAATAGCAAGAGCGGTCGTTTTACCAAACCCAGGCGGCTTTAGACGCAGCGTGGTAAGTATATTCTACAACCTATTTTTCATAGATGGATTTCAGGGTAAAGCACTCACACCTATTATAATACCGAGTCCAAGCAAGGGATCGATTGCGCAGATACTTGGTAAACCGAGAGCGATGCTCGGGTAGGGCTTTCTGCATAAGGGCATCTACGAAGTCGCGATCCGCGAGATTCAAGAGTGGTATTATTGGCAATGGCCTAAATGAGCTACCGGGGACTGGCAATCAGCGGAACCGAAGAATACCTTCCCAGTCACTCATTTCCCGCTGCAACTGAGGATAGATAGGTGAACGGCAGAGGGAGTGTCAGGGCCCACATGGTCACGTGTGAGGCACCAGGTTATTATTGCTACGCTACCACCCTCTAGCTAGCTCTTTTCCTTCTTCTATATAATTAACTTCTTCACTTCTTTTAGCTCTCTTATAATATAACTTATCAGTTATATTACGAGCTCTTATAACCTTATTATAGCTCCCTTTTATAAGCTCTTATATAATAGTAATTATACTTGCTTGCTCTCTTAATTAAAACATTAAAATTTTAGCGTTATAAGGCCTCTTAATCCTAGAGAAAAAAAACATTACTAACTCCACTAAAATCCATTAAATTTCATCCTTAAATTAAGCTAATCTCGTTTATACCCTCTAGGTTATTAAGAAAATTCTCTCTAATACCTACGCTACTAGTATAAGATTGTAAGAGGGACTGGAAGTCAGGTAGCTAAAGTAGGGGTAGCTGTATTATAATACCTAAAGCTTATTCTATTTTCTAGTTGTGTGAGATATAGGGGATATAGTCCTAAAGCCCCCGTTTCACGTGACGTTATTAAGCGCGTTACAGGTAAGCGGGGTTCCCTAACCACCTTACAACTATTCCCCCCCACTTTAACCGAGCGTTAAACGGCCTTAATAGTCGCTCGCTAGCTATATAGTAGTGTATTACCAGAGTATTAGAAGTAGTGTAGTTTTGTAGTTTTTAGTGAATTTTAGTATAGTGTAGTGTAGTGTAGTTTTACTACACTATATTACATTTTAAAAATTAGTGTAATATATAGTATTAATTAATTTATAAGCTATTATTAGCTAATATAATTAATAAGCTAAAATAGAGCTAAAGTTACTTACTAATATTAGTATTAGTAAGCAGGGATTAGCTAGCTTAAATAAGCTAAAAATAGGGATTAAAAAACTAATAAAAATATAAAAATAAGAGAAAGTATAAGAATTATAAGAGAATTATATTAAGTAAGTAGATATTATTTTATATTATTATTATAAGTAAAATATATTAAATATAATAAATTTAAAAATTTCTATTATTTATATATAAATATCTTATAAAATAATAATATTTATA